TTATAGAAACAAAAAAGTGAGTTGAAATGGAGAAACATCTTTTTTTAGTGAAGTTAAATATTGTGTTCAATGTAATTGTTGGCATTAAAAATTTTTTTAAATGTAATTAAGTTTCAGTTATTAATAATTTAAAACAAATTTGCTTAAAAAAACTGTTGCTTTAGTTGAATTTAAATTTTAATATTGCCACAAATTGTAAAATTTTACTACAAAAAGTGTATTAAAATGATTGTAAAAAAACATTTTAACTTAAAGTTGCTCTGTGTTGGCCGAAACTGTGTCCCAAATCCAATTGACAAAAGTAGACACTCGAGTGTCCACGGAAGGTTCAGGACCATGGCATTTAGGAGAACCAAAACTTGTGACACCAATATCAGTCCACCTTTTAGTGGTGGTGTTAAAATGCACCAAACAACTTCCTGAATCTCCATAACAATTACCTTTTCTGTTTTTGCCCATGCAAATGTGATTTTTAGTAATAGAATAGTGAAATTTACTTTTCATCCACACTTTGGCACAATCGTCCTGTTTCCATATTTTCAACACAACTTTTTTAAGTTTGTTGGGTTTAAGTTCCGTATCAGTCCATCCCCATCCAGCGGCTAATGAGTTTTTACCTTCTAAAACACTCAACGGCTCGTTTGGTTCAGGTAAACAAACACTGCCAAGTCTGGGAAGTGACAGGTCAAGACTATGGTCAAGTTTTAACAATGCAATGTCGTTTTGAGGAAAAACAAAATGAGAATGAAGAAATTTTTTGACAACTTTTGCTCGAACTTCTGTGTTAGATGGAGAAATCGTATTTGTTCCGCAAACTACTTCAAGATTGTCATCATTATAAACAGGAGCGATACAGTGGCCAGCAGTTACAATAAATTGGGAATTGATAATAGAGCCGCCACACTGGTGTTTGTTGTTACTACGAAGAGAACACAGCCAAGGAAATTCTCCGGGAAGAGCATCCTCACCTCCAATAATACGAAAATTGTTTAAAGATGAAAGTAAATCAGGAATCGGTTTAGGACCTTTGATACCACAGTTTGGATCATTTTTAGCAATGGCGACATCAGTAGTTATAATTATTATTTTGAACAGCAACAGAAGTTTGCAAAAACCAACAAATAAAACCATTTTAAAATATTTTTGATTATCAGTTGTCAGTGTCTAATGTTGTCTAAAATATTGGTTTTATATACGAAAAATGTATAAAACTCTACTACAGTTACGCTTAATGACTTTTAAACATTTTTGTTATATTTGATTTGATTTTGAATCTACAACTGTTAAATAAAATCAAAATTTGTACAACTATTAAAATTTCTTGTTGCTTGATTAAACTAAAAAACAGTATAAGTGAGTTGTTTAATTTTAATTAAAAAGTCCTAGAAACCTAATGTCAAAAATTTTAAAAGTGTGGAATGTTAGTTATGGTTTTTGCTGAGGCTGTCGTTGTGTTCAAAGTTAATTGCGGATACAAACGATCCTAGTGGCGTCTAAAGTGGCGAAAAACTGTTGTTTGGTCAAAGGAGCGGGTTGGAACAAAAAGCTATCGATTTTATTTTTGTATGTTTATTGGGTTGTTTTGTGAGTGTGTCGGTTACGTTCCAAGACGTAAACTGGTCTGTTTCTGAAAGTGTTGTGTTCCGCTGGTTTCAACGATAGCGAAACGTTTGTGTGCGGTTTTATATAAAAATTGGTTTAAGCAATCGTGCTACAAACAAAATAATATGTTAAGTGTTAAAACATTTAATTCGACAACTAAAAACAAAATTTTTATTTTT